CAGTTACCTCGGGAGCTGCCTTCAGTTTATTTCAGCAACTACGTCTTGAGTAACTTGCACCTGCCAGGCGCTGGGCTAGCCATGGCTCCGGGCAAGACAGACGTGCTCCTCCTGGAGCTTATAGCAGGACGCAGGAAACAGTTGTGAGTGCGGTGAGGACTGAGAGACAGAAGGACGGGTGCTTCAGGAGCCCAGAGCGAGGGGGACTGTCCCTGCTTCAGGGGTCAAAAAGGCCTTCCTGATTGATGAGAGATAAGTGGCTATCACCTGGGGAAGTCAGGAGGATGGGCTGAGAGGAACGAGGGGAAGGAATCAGAAGACAGGAGGAGGATGGGTGTTGGACAGGGGAGGCCACACTTCTGTTCTACCAGGAGGAAAGGCAGCGTGTTTACTGAGCACCTGCTACTGGCAAACAGCGAGGAACATGGGCCCCGTCTTCAAAAAGCTGCAGTCTGGTTGGAACGGCTAGAAATTCCAATGGAAAGGACAATAACTCAGTCTGGGCTAAGCCTACAGGCAGTGAGTGCTGTTGTACTGTACAGGCGTCCACAAGAGATAGCTCAGACGAAGTTTTGCTCATGTTTGTAAGTCAAGCAAGGTCGAGGTCACTGTGAGGTCTAACTGGCCTTGTCCGCTCAGGGTTTCTTCAGGCCTGGTCTCCATTTTAATCGAGTTTAACAGAATGTTGGTAACTCATCAGACACGCGTGTGGTAACTCATGCACACACATTTCTAACCACAACACCTTGAGACGACAGCAGTTTACGACTTGTGGTGTTTACTCAGCTGTTGATCCATTACTCATTCGAACTTGTGTTGAAGTCTGTGAAGCTTCTTTTGCCAAACAAAGTACTTATTTTGAAGCTTGTCTTAGTTTGTCATGACTCATTATTTATACCATGCTGAATTAATCCCAAACTTGGTTGGAACACAAAATATTGGGTGGCTACCCTGAGGAATTTTCCATCCCTCATGCGCTGTCAGAGAATTATTAGATTAGACAAAGACATCACAGGTGGGCCACTGGGTGGGGGGAGATACAGACCTGCCCAGGTGAGCAACAAAATCACCGTAGGGCTTTGCCTGTTAAGCCGGCTTTCAGAAGAACCACAGCCCAGGACTTCTTTGTCTCTGAACAATCATTCTTTTCATTACCTGTATGACTGATGAAATTGAGGTTTATGAATAGGTTGTTCCACTTCTTTCAAAGTTTTCTAGAGCTGTTAGAATTTTGCTGTTGGATAAACACTGCTTGCAGTAAGTGCAAAGATTGCCGTTGTTCAGGGAGTTCTGGTTTTCAGAAAGCTAAAAGTGCCGTGATTCACAGTAAGCCAAGCAGGAGCTACAGGGAGCCGCTGAACTGCTGTTGTTTGTATATACTGTACTGCACTTTTTATTTATTTATTTTTTTGGTAGCTGCTCTCTTGCTACAGGACATTGTCTCTCTAAGTAGTCCTATATTTAATGAGTTCTGTCACTAGTTGAGGCTTGAAGGGCTCCTAAGGAATGAAATACTCGATTACATGTGCTTTCAGTTCCTGAGCTACTGGGTGGAGCATGGAGGGTCAGGAACGCTGGGGCTGGCTGGTTGCCAAGCTCATGGGATCTTGTCTCTCGCCTCTTCACCTTCCAGGATGGCAGTGCTCCCTATGGGGCCAGGTATGTGGGCTCCATGGTGNTATCTGGTCAGCCAGCCAGTTGGAGCTCCCTCCCTCCTCATGCCTGCTGTTGGCTACCACACTGCTCCTTGGCATGTCTGTGTGTGAGTGGGCAGAGGAAAAGAAACAAGGTCTAGTTCCCAGCAGCGAGTTTTGAGGCAGTGGTAGATGGTTGGAGAAGGAGAAGGCTGATGTGACTGAGACCCGTGATTCTCACCAGCCTCCATGTCCTCTGGCCTCATAGCCACCTTCTCCATCTGGCTGTGTTCATCTCACTTCCTGCAGGCTGTGTCTGCCTTCAGCTTCAGCACTGACTAATCTGAAGTCACGGACTCCTTAGAAA